ACACCAGATGTTTCCCCTGGATTGACCATCTGGGGCTGGGCCTGGCCAGGGGACAGCAGAGCCTAGGGTCAGCCCCCATGCCTGCTAGCTCCTCCACTTCCACTGCCACATGACCCCCGTTATGCCTGGGCTAGCAGGCTCTAGAGACAACCCCTGACCTCTGGGAGTACAAAATCCTTCAGGATGATGTGAGGGGCCCAAACACACCTCTTCTAACCGTGTGCGCTTCTCAGAAGGTTCTGACCCAGAAGGCTCTGACCCATCGCTGTCATTGCCTGATTGCTCTCCATCCTCCTCTTCATCCCTGAAGATGTCATCATAGGCGGGAACTTCGAGGTCATCGTCTTGTTTAATGAGTAACTTGATCTAAGTTTAAAACAAAAAGCAATCAGGTGCCTCCTGGCTTGACAGAAAAGTATCCATCACAATGTGTACTTCTCCTGCAGAATCTTATCACTTCCTGATTATTAATAGCTGACTCATAGTTTCCTGGACAAATAGATCACTACCTATTTAAGAAGATTTCCAGAATTCTCAGGAATTTTCTTGTTTTCACTACAGCTCAGTGAGGTACTAGAGTTGCGTCACACCCAGTATAGAGATATTATGAAAATCTGAAAAGAATTTTTTGAAAACCATCTATTGTCCAGAAGTCTGGAAAAGCAGCTCCCTCTTATGGCATCAACAAGATGAATGCCCCACTACATATCCTCTGAGAGAGGGCAGGAAGATGTGGGTCCCCTAAGTGCATAGAATGATCTCTAAAACCAACAGCAGGCTGATTACAGGGTGCTTACACCTCCCAGGTCAAGTGAACTCCACAAATACATTCCAAGCATCTCCAAGGATGAGAAGCCATGTTTCTTGTCAAAGATGGATAAAAACACATTTTTTTTTTTTTTTTTTAGACAGAGTCTCACTAGGTTGCCCTTGGTAGAGTGCTGTGGCGTCAGAGCTCACAGCAACCTCAAACTCTTGGGCTTAAGCGACTCTCTTGCCTCAGCCTCCCTAGTAGCTGGGACTACAGGGGCCCACCACAACACCTGGCTATTTTTTGGTTGCAGTTGTTATTGTTTGGCAGGCCCGGGCTGGGTTTGAACCTGCCAGCCCCAGTGTATGTGGCTGGCGCCCTAACCGCTGAGCTACAGATGCCAAGCCAAGAACATATTCTTGTGCTCAGGCTACTCCTACTTCAACAGGGGAGTCAGGTCCATGCCTTGCCCATGACACTCGGTGCAATATTGTTGTTTTTGGAGACAATCTCACTATATTGCCTTCGGTAGAGTGCTATGGCATCATAGTTCACAGCAACCTCCAGCTCTTGGGCCTAGGTGATTCTCTTGCCTTGGCCTCCTGAGTAGCTGGGACTATAGGCACCCACAACACCTGGCCATTTTTTTATTGCAGTGTGGCTGGGGCCGGGTTCCAACCCACCGCCCTCCAGGCCAGTGCCCTACTCACTGAGCCACAGGCGCCACCCCACTTGGTACAATATTATATGTGGCCTGAAAAGCTGTAGACAGGTTGAGGGGAGAGCACAGAAGAGGTGAGGCCACAATGGCCTGGGTACCTGGTTTTCATTGTACACATTCACAACGTTGACTGGCCTGTGAGTGTCACACACAAAGAATATAGTGTCCTCGTCAGGTTGAAGGATGTCCAAGAGGTCTACGTTAGCTCCACAGTTTATGAGAATAAAATAATGGAACTGGAAAAAGAAAGTTTTTTTTTTTTTTTGTAGTTTTTGGCCCGGGCCAGGTTTGAACCCAACACCTCCAGTATATGGGGTTGGCACCCTACTCTTGAGCCACAGGCACCACCCAAAAGAAAGGATATCTTATATATATATATATATATATATATACACACACACACACACACATATATATGTATATATATTTTTTAATTTGCTTTCAATTTCAGCTGATTTTCACTCATGTTAGTTTGAAGTTTTTTTTTTTTTAATTTTATTTTTTCTTTCTTCCTTTAGAGATTCTCTTGCCCTTTGCCTCCCAAGTGGCTGGGATTACAGTGCCTGCCACAGTTCCCGGCTTTTTTTTTGGTAGAGACAGGGTCTCACTCTGGCTCACTCCAGCTCATGCTGGTCTTGAACCTCTGAGCTCACGTGATCCACCCGCCCTGGCCTCCCATAGTGCTAGGACAGCAGGCGTGAGCCACCAGGCCTGGCCTAGAAAGGAGATATTTTAAAGCAACTGCTTTAAGGAGGCCCCTTGCCCAGCACCATGTTAGGCTTCTGTGTCCTGCTAAGACATGTTAAGGCTGAGACACGTTAAGCCCCATGACATGTGGCCAGGCCCAGATGGCAATGGGCTCCAAAAATGGCCCATGCTGGTACTCTAACACACTCTGCGTATTATTTCCACAGTGACACCATGGAGTAGGTCCTGTGGCTCGCCTTGCTTTCTCCGAGATCACAAGGTGCCTGCAGAGGCTCAGCAGGCCCCAATCTCATGCATGGAGCCAAGAAACCAATGAGCAGACTGGGACTTCAAACATGGAGCTGGGAGTTTCCAGATCACATGGCCTCTCAGTGCTAGTAGCATTGCAGAGCTTTAATTCTCAGCAAATACTTTATGGGTCCCTAAATATTAAGTCCTTTACCACACTTTATCACTATAGTGAATTCTTTCCTTATAAATATCAAACCGGCACAGGTTCCTGGCATGATGACAGGAGTTCCAGGTAAGGACTTACCTCTGCCAAAACAGTTCCAGATGTAGCAGAGACTCTAGCGACAGTCTTCCATGCCCTAGCCCTTCCCCGTGGGGGCCACATTAGGTGGAAGGAACCCTGGCCTCTGGTGTTTAAATTCCAAAGGGAGAATTTGCATTCCTAGATTTCAATTTGGAAACTAGGATGCATGTTCTTGAAGAGATAATGTAAAATAGTGGTGCATTTTAAAATAACTTTAGGCCAAAGACTAAATTCCAAGATCTTATAATCAAATTGAAATACAAATTCAAAGTTAGAGGCTGTCCACATTCAGCATCTTTTTTTGGTCTTTTTTGTCTCTACAACTTGAAGATAAACTAGCAGTATATACAGGGCATGTTTTTCTCTTCCACATTGAGAAGTATCATAGCTGGTATTTAAATATACTCCCAACCTATTGTTGGACTAGAAAGAATGTTAAGAAGAAATTGCCATCGAGTACAAAAGCCTAATCATTACAAAATGCATCTTTCATACCTGTGATTTATGCTCAAGAAATGCAGTTTCAAGTTCTTGCCAGCCAGAAACTGGAACCAGTGTGTACTGCACGTGGTCACACTGGAATAGGGCCTGCAGAGAGAGTGTTTTTAAAATCTATCTTATTTAAGATGTCTGCATTACACCTTGAAATGCACCAGGAAAAAAAAACAAACTAGATGGGTTGAGAGACAAAAGACGTGGGATAATGTACAATTAGTGAAATGTTAATGAGAAAAGCTAAGCAGTGAGAATTTGAGTGTTCACCATACCATTCTGTCAACTTTGCTGACTTATAAAAAATTACCTAAGTAAAACTTGGGGAGAAAGGCTAATCCTACTTCCAGGTCTTCTGAGAATTGCCTGGACCCAAACGAATGATTTTCTCTCCCTAAGACCAGTATCCCCTGCTCTGTTTATGGTACCACTATGCCCTCAGATGTCACCAATTCATCTGTCAGACCCCACATTTGAGAGGTCACACTACTGGTCCAAAGGTCTCCCAAATGCAACCAGTTTTTGCCCCAGGTTACTGTAAAACTACAAACTACTCTCCTGGCCTTTTACCTAATCCTTCTCTAACTGACTCAACACTGTACAGACAGGAGGTGTACAAATCCCCGAGTCCTCCGTCTCTCACCTGCTCCCCACCTCCCGTCCTGCTGACTCCCACCCTAAGCTCTCAACTCCCATCCCGGCGCCGAACCCTCCCTGAACCCTCACCTCTCGCCCCGGCTTGCCCTCCCACGGTCCGCAGAACTCACCTGAAGGATCTTGCAAGCGCACAGAGCATCCACGTCCGAGGCCACAAAGAGAAGGACCCTCTGTCCGGGAAAAGCGCGCGGGCTGAGCACCACGACCCGACTCCTGCCCTTCCCCACCCTCCCGGTCACCCCGCGGCCACTCCCCCCATCCCTTCTCCCTGATGAGGACTCTGCCGGGGTCCTGGACTGAGAGTCACCTGGCTCTGGACCACCTCGTAGAAGTCTCTGCGGAAATCGGACACGAACATAGCCACGGCGAGCAGACGCCTTGAGCTCGCTCCAAGACACCTAGAGCCCCGGAGGCGGTCAAGACTCCCGCCAAATTACAGCTCTTCCCAGATTGGCCCAGGGGTCCCCAACCAATAGCTTCTTGGGTCCCAGACTTTTCTCTCTTCTGATGGGACCGCTTAGGGGCGGGCACTACTGTTCCGCCATTCAGGGCTGGAACACTGCGGCCCGCCCCCAAAGATGCGTCATTTCTGAAGCAGGACGTAAACACCATACCCCCGCCCCCCCGCCCCAGCTCCAACTTGTTTTTACCCAGAAACCCAACGAACGGCAGACATCTTTACTTTGGGAAGAGAAGCCTACTACCCGTTGGGAACCCCAGAAGACAAAAATACACTTCTAGCCATAAATTAAATTTAGTTATATATTGAATAACGGTGACAGTTGCATTTTCAATAGGTGCTCGGTCCGGCCAAAAGGAGGATACGTAACTAACTTCCGCCCGAGTCCTTGATGGCTGAAGGAAAGACCGAAAGGTTTACGTGCATTCTGGGTAGTGTAGTCCTCCGGAGAATGGACCCTACTAAATTCGTCTGGAGGGGAGGATTATCAAAACGTAATTTAAAATAATTTTTAATAGAACTCAGACGGGGAACCCAATTAGGAAAGATTATTTTAACACCACTGGTAATAAGGTTTTATAGCCTAGAGCCGTCGTCTTTTTTTTTTTACTTTTTGGAGGCGAAGCTTGGCCGCGGCGCCGCCCCCCGGGTCTCGGGTCCCGCACTTCCGGTGAGCCTCTCGGAGAGTCCCGGCTTCAGTGCGGCCGCGGCAGCTGGCGGAGGGCAGGCGGAGGGCTACTTTCGTAACGTCCTCTGAGAGAAACAGCGTCTGCGAGGCGGTGTTCATCATGGTAAGCGCAGCCGTGTAGGGCTCCGAGGACGAGGAGTGGGGCCGGGGCCCGAGCTTGGCGCGCGGGGCCGGACAGCGGCGGAGATGCCGAGTCACCCAGGCCTAGTCCGGCCTGTCTTGCCGATCCGGGGCGCTCCGAGTGCCAGGAGGACCCTGGACCGTGAACTGCCTCTGGTCACGTCCGCTCGTCTGGTGCTTGGTTAGCGTTCCCTCTCTGTGGGGTAGGAGGGTAGGAGGGAACCGGCGTTCGTGTCCACCCGTGGGTCTCTGAAAGAGCCGGCCACGCAACAGGTGTCCGTGCACACGGAGTGAACGGGAATGCTCTCGGGGGTGGTAGCAGAGGCTGGCGCTGCCCGGGGACTGTCCGCGGGGGACTTCCTCGTGAGCAAGGAAACCCCTCTGTCTCCCCATTTCCGCAGCTCTGTGCCCCCCGGGTTCACGTCTTCGGTTGTGTGGACGGCGATTGTTGTGTTCGGTAATGATACCAACACTAGTTGCTATTTGCTAATACTTTTTCTGCTAGTTTTTCTTTAGCGCCTGCATCTTTAATGCCTCATCACACCTTCTCCCCTTTAATCCCTACAATCCCTTTGGAGGCGAGGATTATTAATATAATTTTAACCAGGAGAAAACTAAGGATGTACAGAGATAGTTTACTGGAGGTTGCAGAAGTGAAGAGGGGAGGTTTGAAGCCAAGTCTGTCTGGCTGCAAAACTCTCTTCTACCTTTCTACAGCATTGCCTTTCTGGAACCTTTTTATTTTAGTAAAAACAAGGAGTGATTATTAGATCTTATCCTGTGTTTGTCATTGTCAAATCACGTTTCTGTTTCCAAGTTTGTTCACTTGGCAGAAACAATACATCGTATGTGCCAAGCAGTGTGCTAAGTATTGGGGTTATGTGGGGATAGCAAGACAGGCGAGGTGGCCGGTGCCTGTAGTCCCAGCTACTCAGGGCGACAGAGTAAGATGCTGTCTCCAAAAAAAAAGGAAACTACTGTGCTAAAGTTTCAGAGAGTCATCCAAGATTTTAGGCAGAAGCATGCTATATTTGCATTTTAGGAAGATAGCTGATTCAGCTCGATAGTTTTGGGATTGCTAATAAATGATTCCGTTAGTGGCTTTCTCTCTATTTAATGTATGTTGGAACCAAGTCAAAAAATATTTGTCTGTTATGGCTTTATTTTTAGACAGAGTCTCACAATGTGGCTCAGGGTAGAGTGCTGTGGCATCACAGCTCACAGCAATCTCTAACTCTTGGGCTTAAGTGATTCTCTTGCCTCAGTCTCCCAAGTAGTTGGGACTACAAGCGCCCAACATAGTGCCAGGCTGTTTTTTTGTTGAAGTTGTCATTGTTGTTTAGCAGGCCCAGGCTGGGTTTGAACCTGCCAGCCTCAGTGCATGTGGCTGGCATCGTAACCACTGTGCTGCAGGCACCGACTCTGTTACAACAAATTGTTTTAATCGTGGTAAAAGAAATATTATCATCATAACCATTTTTACGTGTGTAGTTCAGGAGTGTTTAGTATTTCACATAGTTGTGCGACAGACCTCTAGAACTTTTTCATTTTGCAGAAATAAAACTCTATTCCCATTAAACAATAACTCTCCATTTCCTTTCTCCATAGCCCCTAGCAACCTAATGTTTTCTACTTTCTGTTTTCCATGAATTTGGTTACTCTAGGAGTCCCTAGAGTCTAAGTTAAGTGAATCATTTAAGGGCCAGGCACAACTGCTCACGCCTATAATCCTAGCAATCTGGGAGGTTGAGGCAGGTGGATCACTAAGAGCTCAGGAGTTTGAGACCAGCCTGAGCAAGAGTGATTTAAAAAAGTCTCAGTCTCTACTAAAAATAGAAAAATCAGCTGAGCACTATGGCAGGTGCCCATTGTCCCAGCTGTTTGGGAGGCTGAGGCAAGAGGATCTTTTGAGCCCAAGAGTTTGAGGTTGCTGTGAGCTATGCTGATGCCACAGCACTCTACCAAGGGTAATAGAGTGAGATTCTATCTCAAAAAACAAAACAAAACAGAATAGTGGAGTCATTTAACTTTGGCTTATTTCACTTAGCATAATGTCCTTGAAGTTCATCCGTGTTATAGCATCTGATAGAATCTCCTTCCTTTTTAAGGCTGAATATTGTCTCTATATGCCACATGTTGTTTATTCTTCATCTGTAGGGGTTTCTTCCATCTTTTGGCTATTCTGAATAATGGTGCTACAAATGTGAGTGTGCAGATAATCTCTTGGAGATCTTGCTTTCAATTCTTTTGGATCTATACTTGCTTTGGGAAACTCTCAAACTGTGTCCTTAACACTACAATAATCATCAACACAGAAGGAGACTTTTGTGACCAAATGTGGGCACCAGCTGGGGGTCTTCTAATTGAAGCCTGAAACTGTGTACCTGGAAAAAATGTTAGATCCCACAGAGTGAAGGCCCAGTCCCCAGGCCCCCACAAGTCCAAGCCTCTGGAACTTCTGACTAATCGGCTGCAAGTTGGGGATTCCCATCACCCACTGTTTGGGCTCAGTTAATTTTCTAAAGGCTCACACAACTCAGGGCAACAATTAATTATGTTTATTGTAAAGATACCACAGAGGATACCGATGAAGAAATACATAGGGTGAGGTATGTGGTAGGATTGCACCCACCCTCCAGCACCCTCCCTGTGTTCAGCTATCTAGAAGCTCTCCACACCCAGTCCTCTTGGGTTTTATGATCAGCTGTGTCAAAAATGTGATCAGCCTTCAAGGTGTGGGGATGGGCGCTCTTTGGAATAAGGGCCTTAGGACCTATAATCAGAAAGGTGGGGGAAGATTAAAGTGGGATTTTATATTCTTTTAAAATATCATAGTTACTCCAATGCAATAGTCTCATCTTATCCTTAGTTTTGCTTTTCATGGTTTCAGTTACCCAAGGTCAGCTGTGGTCTGAAAATATTAAGATATTTTGAGAGGAGGGGACCACATCCACGTAACTTTTATTATAGTATGTTATTAAAATTGTTCTGTTTTGTTATTAGTTGTTAATCTCTTGGTGTGCCTAATTTATAAATTAAATTTTATCATATACTGAGGACAGGGGGTGGGGGGCAGCCCTGAAAAAGGTTTGGGACATATTTGGTATGGCCAGCATTATATTTTAATAAGATCACACTTCCTAAAAATGATGGAGACTAGACCCGAGTGATTAGATTGGGCACAGCAGAAAGGATTTGGAGTTTGGCCAGGAAATCAGAGTGGTCAGTACGTGGTGTTCTTCAACACCATTTGGCAGCATCTACTACCTAGAGGTCTTTCATCTTTTGACATGAAGAAATGTGCGTTTGTGGGCGGCGCCTGTGGTTCAGAGGAGTAGGGAGCTGGCCCCATATGCCGGAGGTGGTGGGTTCAAACCCAGTCCTGGCCAAAAACTGGAAAAAAAAAAGTGCATTTGTTCTGTTCTGATGCCCTCTTCTCTTTCTTCCTTCTAGTTCTCCTTCAACATGTTCGACCACCCGATTCCCCGGGTCTTCCAAAACCGCTTCTCCACGCAGTACCGCTGCTTCTCCGTGTCCATGCTAGCGGGGCCTAATGACAGGTCAGATGTGGAGAAAGGAGGGAAGAGTATGTGCTTGTTTTTATTTTGAATAGTCACCTTTACCGCCCTTTCTGTGATGCTTGTAGCCTTCAACAGTCCTGACTTTGCATGTGGGAGCCAGAAGCTAGAATTACTGTGGAAATGGTGCTTGTCTCTGTCTTGCTGACTGGGAGTGGGTGGGGTACTAATTAACTGTTAGATTGTGGCTGGTAGCCATTCAGTTCCCCAAAACAAGATACATCAAGTGAAATTCTTTATGAGAGATCTGTTAAATTCTGGCTATCCTGAAAATACTGTTTAAAACCTTTTTTTGACATAATAGAAATTGCCTTTAGTCTGTTTTTTTCATTTTTACTTTTTTAATACTTCTTAAATGTTCTCTCCACAGTAATTATGCCACCCTCAGCACTGGATCAACTCAGTAAGTATTTTCTTCTAAGTGATTTGGGAGCTGACACAGTGATAAATACTGATACAGTGATACAGTGTAAATACTGACATCAGGAATCGGCATAAGCTCATCTGTGCATCTAGACACAGGTGTCCTTTGTCAACATCTGTTTGTGAATCGTCCCTGGAAGGTACATGACCAGGCCAAAGGGTGGTCCTGACCAGGGCCAGGGATTGTCCAGCTTCACTTCTCCCTTGGGTGCTTCAGGTCCCTCCTCTGTCCCACCCCTGGAGTCTCAGGATTCTGTTAGGATTGAATGAAGTGTGAGCATCAAGTTCCAGGGCAGCAGATGCCATTGGATGGGCTCCCTAGGTCTCCTCTGAATGGAGGAATCAGTCAGTTCACGGGAGGGTGCTACAAGGCAGGGTTTTTTTTGTTTTGTTTTTTTTTTTTTAGGAGAAAGAGTCTCACTTTGTTTTCCTCAGTAGAGTGCTGTGGTGTCATAGCTAACAACAACCTTCAGCTCTTGGGCTTAGGTGATTCTCTTGTCTCAGCCTCCTGAGCAGCTGGGACCACAGGCACCCGCCGCAACACCTGTTGTTGTGGCTGTTTTTTGTTGCAATTTGGCTGGGGCCAGGTTTGAACCTCCCACTCTCTGTATATGGGGCTGGTGCCCTACTCACTGAGCTACAGGTGCCGCCCTGAGGCAGGTTTTTATCTCATGGGCCTTCTTCCCCTAAGCTCCTGGCCCAAGTTCCTGACCCCCACTGCAGTGGCTCCTCGGCATGGCCACACCAAACTTTGGTCTTCACCTAGAAGTCCTTACCAGTGGTGAGAAAGGCCCACAGTTTGTGAGATTGGCCCAGCCTTTCTCTCTTCCCCACCCCCTGAGGCCATGAGAGCAATCTGGAGACCCCATGCTGCAGCCCCAAGCTCCTTGGACATAGAAAATCCCAGTTACAGACAACCCGGGTCATGAACACAGCCATTGCTTTTTGAGATTTAGAGGTGTTTGTGGTGTGAATTCCTCCTATGTAAGGCAGGAGCCTAGAGGTTGTCCAGGGGGATGGGTTCACACTCAATCTTGAGGGCACATGGTGGCAACTCGTGGAGAACAGGCACTGGCCCCACTGTCACTCACATCGGACCCACTGCCCTGCCTGACTCTCCAGTAGTGATCTGGCCTTTCCGAACCTTAGTGTCCTGTTCTTTAACTGGAGACATCTCAGTGGTCAGGAGGTCCTGTAGGAGGAGAGTGAACAGACCAAATCCATCTGATGCCAGCCACAAGGAGGTGACCACTGAGCTAGAACCAGCTATGGCTATACCCAGTGGAGGCCGCCACTCAACCAGCAGGTGCACAGAGCCATGGAGCTCACAGCCCTCAAAAAGACCCTGCTGTCATAGGGGAGGGAATGGCCAGGGCTTCTCCCTTTCCAATGTGCTGACCCAGGAGCCAGGCCCCAGTTGTGACCTCAGCACAACTATCCAGAGAGACTCAGGGACTGGGTCAGTGGGGTGTATATCAGATCAGTCTTCAAACCTTTTTAGTGATGTCAGAAACTCTTTTATAAATGTCCAAAAAAAATCTTACAGGGAGTTGTTTTATAAAATATAGGGTTATTGCTCTGTTTGGACAAGGTGAGGGGTACAGAAGGCTCGGGGGTACCCAGTACAGTTTGAGAGGCATTGGTCTAAGAGACATGGGTTTCTCTTCCACTTGGAACAAGCTCAGACCCAGTTCACCCTGGACCAGCTATGGGTCAGCTCCACAGCTCTACTTCTAAGGAGTGCCCTGGGGATGGAGGGCCTGTGGCCCCATGCTCCAGTATCATGAGCACCCTTGGTAACAGGAGGGAGCGCCTGTCCCCTGCCACCTCCCTCATGAGATTCTGCCTCCGGATGCTCTTCTCTGTAGCCCAGGCTCTTCACTTGGTTTGCTTTATTGAAACTTTCAGGGAGATCCCAGACAGTCTACTTCACCTTTAATGCTGAATGGGACTTTTGTTAATATATTGGGTAAAATGACAAACTAAAGTCTGCCCAGATGGTTGAATCCCCAGACACATCAGCAGCCTGAGTTTGAATCCTGGCCACTCATAAGCTGTGTGGCTCTGGGCATGGTACTTAATCTGCATGCCTTAGTTTCCCCATAGATAAAAGGGAACAGTGATAGTGCTACTCTATTATTCCAGAAAGACTGAACAAGGACTTTGTAGATGGCAAAAACCAGCACCACCATGCATAGCTCCTCAGGCCCCTCCCCCAGGGCCCTGGGTCTCCTTGCCTTCTTGCCCTGTGGTGCTGCCCCTCTCCTGTGCTCCCTGCACCTCCCGAGTCCACATGCCTGCAAATCATGTCTGCTTGCCTCCACCGTCTGTGCACCCCCACCTCAACGACCACCAGAGTGAGGGGACACCCAGCGTCGTGGCCCTGTTGAGAGCCCACAGGCCTGTGTACTAGGTTCAGCCCCATGCAATAGCCTGGCCTAGGCTCCCTTACCTTCCTCACTATCCCTACAGCTATCCTGGCCCTATCTGGTTCGTAAACTGCCAGGGCAACTTTGCTCAGGCTGCCCCTCTGCCTAGAGTTCTCTCCCTGGCCTACCTGCCTGGAGACCAGCCTGGAGAACTCAGCCTCCATGAACCTGTCCTTCTGGCCTTGCCCTGCTTTGCCCACAGCCGCTGAGCATGCTTGTTTTTTTATTTATTTGTTTTGGGACAGGGTCTTGCTCTGTTACCCCAGCTGGAGTGCAGTGACATTGTCATAGCTCACTGCTGACTCCAACTTCTGGGCTCTAGGAATTCTCCTGCTTCAACCTCACGAGTACCTGGACTACAAGTGCACACCACTGTGCCCAGCTAATTTTCCTATTATTTTTTGCAGGGACAGGGTCTATGTTGCTGAGGCTGATCTTGAACTGCTGGCCTCAGGCAGTCCTCTCTCCTTCACCTCTCAGAGTGTCAGGGTCACAGGTGTGAGCCACTACACCTTGTTTTGTTTTCTTTCTCATTTTTCTGTTATAACTAGAAACCTTTAATGGTAGGGATTTTGTCCACTATGTGTTTGGCCTTAAATTATTAATGAATAAGTAAACAAACATCACTTTTTAAAACTGTGATTTCAGGAAATCACAGATCTATGCCAGTGCTGCGTTACTGAGTCTTCACACTTCACAAGCTCCTCTGGGCCATGCCTTGTGCTATCACAGGGAGTGTCATGGGGAAACAGCACCTCCAACCAAGGCGCGCCTAGCGGCTGAGGGGGGATGATCCCTGAGTCTGCATGCCCCAGGGGGCGAGCCTTGGGGATAGGGCTTGTCTTCCCAGGAGCTGTGCCTCACATCCTCTCTCTTCCTTCTAGGCCGACTTAACATCACCTATCCCATGCTCTTCAAACTGACCAATAAGAACTCGGACCGCATGACACACTGTGGCGTGCTGGAGTTTGTGGCTGACGAGGGCATCTGCTACCTCCCACACTGGGTGAGCCGGGCCACCCGGGCTCTGGAGAGTCTATGCCCCTTGGCCTGTCAGGTTGGAGGGCTTTGTAGGCAGGGGCAGCCGCAGCTGTGCATGTGTGAGCCTACATCCGCTCAGGAGGCCTGGCCTCAGAGCACGTGGCTCGGCTGCTCTGACCTTGCCTGGCAAGAGGGGGATCTAGGACAGTCCCCATGCCTGCTCTGTGCTTGGCTGTGAGGTACACATGGGGTGCTCTGCTGTGGGGACAGCCTTTGCTTTGACAGTTTTTCGGCTGGTTGCCCTGAAGTCACAGCCAGACTGTTCATCTGTGATTTCTTGGGTCAGGCTTTTTTAAAATAATGGAGCAAGACCATGTTTTAAGTGGTCTAGTAAGTAAGATATTTAGGATTCTGTGCTGTTTCCATGTGTCACAATGTGTATGTTTTCAGATGCTTGCTTGTGACTGAGCCCTCCAGAAACACTCCCCCAAGTAGCTCTGGGCACAATGCCCTTTTCCTGCATCCGGGCACTCTCTGTGTAGTGTTCTGAAGGAAGTCACTGCAGACTTGGGGTTGGGATATCAAGGGCACCTGCACCATCAAGCTGCCCTGGGCCACACAGAGCTGCCCTGGGGCTACATACCTCTGAGAGGCCAGCAGCAGAAAACCAGTTAATTCCTTTCTCCGAGATGTCATGCCTCCTGGGAACCCTATCTGGGGGGCCTGGAGCCAGCGTGGGGGGGCTGTGTGTGAGGGGGGGCCCTCTGGGTGCAAGTGCCACATGGTGGCCTCAGGGCCGCTCACTGCCTCCACCCCCTCGTCCTCCCCAGTCTGACGTGCTGCCTTCGAAGCCCACAGTGGACCCAGGTGTCCTCTGTGTTGAGGAGTGCGAGCTCCTCAGCCGTTGGACGCCTCTCTTGCGGGTCCCCTGTCACTGGTCAGCACACTGGAGAAGGGGTGGGCTTAATCCTTTATGAAGTTGAGTGGAAGTTCTTCAGGCCCTGCCCTCCTGCACCAGGAGACCTTGCCATTGGCTGCTGGGGTGCTGCCAGGTCCCAGGCCTAGCCAACGCCTCCCCTGTATGAGCACGTGTGCCATGCTGTGTCTTGGTGTCACCCTGCTGGGCGGGCCTGCCTCACCTGGCCTGAGGAGTGCCCTTGCACCTCAAAGCCTAGACACGGCTCACTATCCCCTCCGCCTGCACCCTCCCCAGCTCTTGTGCCCATCCCTGGCTGCTCTTGTGTGTGCCTGCAGGTTTCTCCAGCCCTGAGGCTTGTTCTGCTCAGCCTCTAGAGCACCTGGCACAGAAGCTACTCAACATGGCTGAAACACCAGGCAGTGACTACTCCCCATGCCCCTCTGGAGTGTAGAGGAGAGATAGGAGGTGGTGACACTGAGGGCGCCCTGGACCTTGAAGCTTTGCCTTTAGACCTTGGTGTTTGGTGGCTGTTTGTCAAAGCTCTTGGACCACTTTGGACCAGAAAACAAATTTAATTCCTTTCTCTGAGATGTCATACTTCCTGGGAACCCTATCTGGGGGGCCTGGAGCCAGCGTGGGGTATGAGGCCACCTCTTCCTGGCTGATCTCTTAGCTCTTGGTGTGTGGTATGGGCAGGTGCCTGGTGTCCCCAGCTGCTGTCCCATGGCCACCATGGGATATGTGAGCAAATGCTTTCTCTTGGCTGATGGGAAGTTTCGTTCTAGCCGGAGCTCCTGAGCTTCTTCAGGTCACCTAACCTGGGCTGGCTGTTGTAGCAGGTAAAGTCTTGTAGGCTGGCCTCAACTGTGACCTCTTCATGGGGTTTGTACACATGTTGGGCCAGGTGTGTGCCTACTGATATCTCGCAGGAGCAGAGACAGATTTCCAAAAAAAAGTCTGCCTAAGAGACTATGCATGCATCTGGCTGTGGCAAGCAGACTCAGAGCCTTAAAGCACTTGCACCTCCCCAGGGCCACTAGGATCCATAGCCACCACAGCCAGGCCTCTCCATCCTGCAGGCCTTCCTGTGACGTCTGGCAGAGTCAGTGACCACCTGCTGTTTCTCAGCACGCCTCCCTCCATACACGCTCCCTCCTCTCCTATGTCCTCAGACCCTGATTCTTGGGCTATTAGAGTCATCTCTTAACTGCTGCTCTGGGTGAAGCTCTCCTGAAGGGAATGACCCCTGGGGCTCACTGCAGGGCATCTGGTGTGGGCCGCAGCGAGGTAGTAAGTGGGGCTCTGACAGGCTGGGAAGGCCGTGACTTGATGACTGTTGAGCCGTCAGGGCTCCAATCTGGGTGGCCAGGTTTACAGAGGCTCCCTTATATGATTCTCTCTACTCATAGATGTGTTTGGTATTCTTTTTAAGAAGGTTTCAAATAATAAACACAAAATTCCATCCTAGGACACGCAGGATTTCTCATTCTTGGCCTGTGGCCCGAGTCCTGGCTCCCTGCACACCAGGTGTCCATGGCTCTCATTGGCCATTGTCCACTTTGCTGAGTAGTTTAGTAGAGGCCTGTGGGGGGCTTCTTTGTTGGTTTCTATAAGTCCCATAGGAGACATCTCTGGGGCCTTGCCACTATCCCTTGGCCTCAGCTGTGGTGGGCTGTTCCTGAGCAGTCAGCCTCCCCTTGCACTGTCAGCTCCTCCCTCAAGTGTGGCCCTTTGCCCCATGGTGTTCCTTGCTGTGAGACAGCCTAGAAGTGTAGGGGGTGAGTGCTTGGGGAACACTCTGCCCCTGGGAGGCCCAGTGCCGGTGGCTCGTCTGGGTGGCCAGGCAGAGGCCTTGGTAGCACCTTTATTGGTCTTCCTTCCTTCCATGTCACCTGATTTTTTCCTCCTCTGTAATGCTGTATCATGATTAAATTACATGTCTGGTCTCAGGCTCCTCTTCCAGGAACCCAGGTAGATCAGCCTGTCCTGTGTGCAGACAGCAGCAGTCGTGGAGGCCAGTCAATCCCCAGGAGTCTCATGTGGCCGCTTCTTCCTTTCAGATGATGCAGAACTTGCTCTTAGAAGAAGGGGGCCTGGTCCAGGTGGAGAGTGTCAACCTTCAGGTGGCTACCTACTCCAAATTCCAGCCTCAGAGCCCCGACTTCCTGGACATCACCAACCCGAAAGCCGTGTATCCTTTGGAAATAAAAAGGGTGACAGAGGAGAAGTATGTTGGCAGCCAGTCAACAATAAGCGTTTTGCTGAACCTGCAGCTGCTTTGGGGGCCATATGCTTGTTGGGATTGAAGTTGCTCAGCTGGCAGGTCTCCTTGGCCCTGGCGGAGTGTGCTGTGTGGTCTCAGCCTTGTCTTGTCATGTTCCAGGCACTTCCTGGAGGCTACAGCAGAGCTCCTCTGTGGTTGGGCTGTGCCACTTGCCACACAGCCCAGAGTGCAGGATGTGTCTGATGGAAGGATGGGACAACTCGTATGACTTCACCCCAGTGGTGGGTAGCAGTGATGAGCACGTTTCTGTCTCTTAGTAAGGGAAGGAAGGAGCTAGGTTCTAGTGGACTTTTTTAGGCAGGCATTTGTGTTAGGAAGTAGATGGGCTGGGTGAGGGGTGTGCTGTGCTCTGTGTGTGCTGTGATTGAGCCCACCAGCTCCATGGCCCTGGTTTGCCTTTTTTTTTTTTTGAGACAGTCTTACCTTGTTGCTCTGGGTAGAGTACCATGGTGTCCTAGCTCATAGCAACCTCAAGCTCTTGGGCTTAAGCTATTCTCTAGCCTCAGCCTCCCATGTAGCTGGGACTACAGGCACCCGCCACAATGCCCGGCTATTTTTATTTTATTTTTTGAGATAGAGTCTCACTTTTTAGCTCTCAGTAGAGTGCCATGGTGTCACAGCTCACAGCAGCCTCAAACTCTTAGGCTTAAGTGATTCTGTATCTTCAGCCTCCTGAGTAGCTGGCACCTACCACAACATCTGGCTATTTTTTAGAGACAGGGTCTCGCTCTTGTTCAGGCTGGTCTTGAACCCGTGAACTCAGGCAATCTGTCCGCCTTGGCCTCCCAAGTACTGGGATTACAGGTGTGAGCCACCATGCCTGGCCAAAAAATGCATTCTTAAGAAAAAGACAAAAGCTCAACTGAACAAAATGGAGAGGTAAAAAGTTTAAGAAAAAAAGCGGCCTCCCACCCTGTCAGCCTCCTTTCACCAGGCCATCCTTAGATGTGCTGCTGCTGGTCAGTGGGCCATGTCCTGGGTGCAGATGGCTGTGCTCAGTCCTTTACTGACCCAGTCCTGGACACGATGGCATGTTGGGTTCCCAGCTGGCCAGGTCCTAGATGAGGGGATTGTGTGCACACTGCCTACAGCATCATCAGTGGTGAAGGCTTCCTGTCCCACAGGCGGGGGACGTCCTTCAGAGAGCTGGGTCACTGAGTCTGCAGGTGCTGAGCTTGCGTGGCTGTTGGTGACTGAGAGTGTGGCCTGCCCTGGGTTTTCTCAGGTGTTGGGATGCAGACTCATGCTTTCACAGCGCAGTTGACTTAGTTTGTGGAGAAAGGGAGTCAGTTTCATCATTGGAGAGTTGGCCTGGTGTTCCTTGGTCAGCTGAGGGTCTGGATGAAGCTTTCTTAGTACAGAGCAGAGAAGTACAAGCAATTCTGGATCTGACCCTCGGGCCCTCCAGCTGTAGGGTTAGGGGGAGGCACGAGGGAAGGGCACCCCTGCAGTGTGCCATTTCCTGTGCAGGGGCCGCAAAAGCCTGCCACACTTCCCACAAAGCTGTGTTGTGGAAAGCTTTGAGCAAGAGAAGGGAACCTGGATAACCCTGCTCTGCCAGCCTCTGAGTTAGACTCTGGGAATCCTGGCCAGGATAGGGTATGTCATGGGCAGAGTCTGGAGGCATGCTTCATGTCTGACTTCTATGTACAAAATAGTTCCACAAATTAATGATGATGATGTAGTTAAAATAGTCCATGTGAATAGACATTTCCTTGTGTGGGCATTAGGGTTGCATAGCTTTTAAAAATTTATACTTTCGGCTAGGCGCCTGTGGCTCAAGCGGCTAAGGCGCCAGCCACATACACCTAAG